GGGGCGGGGGAGGGGGGAGCAGTATATGGTCCAGGAATTTTAGGGAAAAAAGCAGTGAAGGAGAGAGAAGATATAATTTGATATGATGTATATATCACCTTTTTTTCAAAAAGCTTTATCGCTCTTTCTTTTTATAGAAAGCAACGTGTTGCTAAGTGTGCTACTAACCTGCCACGAAGGCATAAGCTTTAGATTGTTTAATTAAATACAGTTGCCCATAGTCTACCAGTATCATTCACTGTTCTATGTCGCACCCCACCTACTCAAATAAATGAATGTCCCGGTCCTGGAGGCCTCAAGCAAAAATTAAAGATCTTACAACACTTAACTTTGAACCAGGGTCTCTGTCCTTCTGGGCTGCTTTCAAACTATTGAGGAAATATAATTAGGAGGAAAAAACAAAAAACTCCCAACCCAGAAGTCTTTCCACAAAAGTAATAGACTAGGAAACCGTTTTATTATTAAATAAACTTTAATCCAGAATGTGATGCACTTTACAAGCAATGCACTAAGATTGCAAAGACAGAAGGAATCTCCCCTTTATATAGCCAAGCCAGGACAACCCACTAAAAAGCAGGTTCTCAAATGACAGGACATGACAAGGTCACACATCCTAACTTTATCAGGGAAACTGGGGAGACAAAACCTGTGTTGGCTTAACCAGAGGAGAAACAAATTTCCATACCTTTAGGGCAGGAGATAGTCTTACAGATTGGAGCAAGGTGCCCACAAAAGTTAGGCTGTTAAGTTGACGCCATTTGGGGCAACCCATATGGTTTGCAGATGATTTAATAAAATTATAATCCCTTAAAAAAAAAGGTAGGCTCCTACCCTTACACAGGAACTGGGTGTTAGGGACACTATCTTCCTGGTTGTTTTCGTTTCAAAGATGGTTGCCAGGTCCTGGAGGAAACATTCCTGAGCTGTGAGACTAGCCACAGGTTATCTAGCCATTACAAATATATACTGTACATATATTTTAAACATACGCAGAAAGAAATTTTGAAAGAAAAGGGAGGAGGGGAATGTGTGCAATGCAGTAGTAGTTTTGTTTCTAGTCACCTAAGGGTGTATCTGGGGAAATGTGCTATCAGTGTGAGCAACAATAAACCAGCCAAAGGTTTCACTTTTATTTTTAAAAAATACATAGTAGAATATTACACACTTAAAAAATGAATAAAATTCTGATACATGCTACAACATGGGTGAACTTTGAAAACATTATGCTAAGTGAAATAAGCCACACACAAAAACAAATATTGTTTGAGTCCATTTATGTGCGGTACCTAGAGTAATCAAATTCATAGGAACAAAAAGTAGAATAGTGGTTACCAGGGGCTGGGAGGAAGGGAAAATGGGATTACTGTTTAATGGATATAGAGTTTCGTTCGGTTGGGGGTAATGAAAAAGTTCTGGAGATGGATGGTGGTGATGATTGCACAAAAATGTGAATATAGCCCTAACTGGTTTGGCTCAGTGGATAGAGCGTCAGCCTGTGGACTGAAAGTCCAGGTTCGATTCCGGTCAAGGGCATGTACCTTGGTTGTGGGCACATCCCCAGTAGGGGGTGTGCAGGAGGCAGCTGATCAATGTTTCTCTGTCATTGATGTTTCTTTTCTTTTTTTTTTAATATATTTTATTGATTTTTTACAGAGAGGAAGGGAGAGGGATAGAAAGTTAGAAACATCGATGAGA